CCGCCCCGTCACACTATCCTCTCCTATCTTCGTGACAAAGTATAGCACAGTCGACGAAAAACAAGAAAGGATGTATCCACTTTCCAACATATGGAAATGAGTAAACGCTTCCTATTGCCGTACACCAATCGTAGTCACCCCGTTGATACACGTATGGCATAAAATTAGAGTAAAGGCCGTTCCGATGACTTCTAATGTCATTTACAACGTATACGAGACTGTTAAAAGTAACTCTGTCCGTATCGATTTATAAATCGTGAAGGGTTGACTGTAAGCGTTGTTATGCAAGTCGCGAAGAGACGAGGCGTAACGGTAGGTATGAGGCTCCATTGGCAAGAGAAGCGTCGCGACGCACGTATACACCGTCACAGCGCAAGGTTATTCATCTGAAATTCTTGCAAGAGCGTCATTATTATCGCGAGATAGGAATCGAGTAAAGTGTCGGCAGTTGTTGTTGAAAAGGGGGATGCGTGCGTGGGATACGTACGTGCGTCGATTAAGACGTAGTATATGCATCATTGGAATTATGTAAATTGAAGGATTAGCCTAACAGTGTGTTTCGGAGAGACGTCACATACGGGAGTTCTGTATTATGCGTGACTGTGTGTCGATTTCCCTCTGCGCTGCCGTCCCTCGGCCCTTTCTCCTTCCTGCATGTACTTTCCCTCTGCCCTTTCCCTTTCTCTATGACTACGCTCGTTTATTCATCAGTTCCACGATTCGTTTCGCTCGACGTTTTATTAGCCTGTTGTTTTGTCCAGTCGATACTTCTTTTTTACCTGGATAACGTGTAAGCAGGACGTTCTACCCCTCTGCCCACCACTTGCATCGGGTTCCTATGTTTTCTGTGCTGGTCGAGAGCACGTTTTTGATCCCTTGAGACACCTACCCCCCAGGCACCTCATGTTTGTAGAGGTCGTGGAAGCTGTGGATATTTCTCGAATTTTTATAAAACACAGAAATCGATTAGGCATTGGACGGGCAGGGGAGAATAATGAGGGGTAATAATAAAAATACAATTTTTATCAATAAAATGAACCCGTCGGATACCCCAAGAAGGGCTGGGGTGGTAGGGTCCAGTGGCTGGCTGACTATCTGGACGACTGGGTGGCTAGATAACTGCTTGGCCAGTGGCCACTCGCGAAATTCGCAGCCTCCCTAATATAGCCCACTCATAATCATTAATCACGCAGGACGGAGAAGTCCATGGCACACGCTGGAGGTGGAGATTGTTCTCTGCCCACCTCCTGCCAGAACGTATAGCGCTTTTCACAAAGTGCTGCACCACCAAAAACTTCATCTTCAACCCGCGCGGATTATGATAACAGATAGCAATCGTTGAAAAATAAAAGTTTTATCGACCCACGTCAGTTCCAGTTCGTATCCTACCCCGTAGTCACTTAATTCCAGAGGTAAGGGTGTATTATCAAATTTTGTAAGGACCGGTAGTAATGGCTCGGCTCTCGCGCGCATGCTAGACCCGCGGGAGGGGTGGGTGTTCTTCTAGATGTATCCTGGTAAACTATACATATAGGTATAGCACAATCTCGTGTGGAATACACGTCGGCCGCTAACCCAGCTGACCGGTCATTAATAAACCGAAGCCATTACCAAGCACGAGCAACCCCCCCGCGCTTCCCCTTTGCCACGGGATTGTGTGAGTTAGTTCTCCTTTCCGTGTAATCTCGCGTGTATATATAGATACAAAGTTATACGTATAAGTCACCTACACTCATGTCCAAAACCACTATCCTCAGAGCTTCCCTCCCGAATCCAGATATCCACCCTTACTCGGAGGCCTATACTAGGGGCAAAACGGGGAACTATCTGGCTATACCGATCCTGGCTGAAGCTAGCGAAGGAGGTGGAAGCGGAGGAGAAGCCCCATTCGAGCAGTTATAGTGCTGCGACGTTGGTATGTCATTTATATATGTCCAGTCGAAATGACCCGTCCGTCCATCTCATCCCTTAAGCACGCCGATTAAAGTCAACTACCGGTATGTAAACTCGAGCCACCCCCCCTAGGCTAGACACTTAGTTAATGAAATTCCGTCAATTGCTCGATGGAATATCGCGAACAAGAATTTATGGACACGTATCATTTTTTATATCACCTTTTATAAAATACGACTCAAGGTAATACAGGGTATTAACGACCTGTGCATATCTCGATTGCATACGCGTCAAAGCGTCCCGACGTTCGACGGCGTCGACTAACGTCGTCCCGTGGAATTTCATGGCTGTCGCATTAAGCACTGGCATTTAATATATTGATGCAGAACGTCAGGCTCGCGTCCTGACGCGGTGACACGTAGCGTGCTATCGCAGCGCAGGGGTTGGTCATGCCCGGCATGGAAAGGAATGCGAGCCCAGGGACATGCTGACGCCGACGTCGACGTTTCCTTTGTTGCAGCCTCCGAGATTTGAAGGAAAATAATAGCGTGACCTATGAGAGCTACCGTCCGCATTGTCAAGCTGATGGGCGTGACGTTATAGCCATGCTGCTCAACCATGATTCTCATAAAACACTTTACTTAATTTTTTTATGCTTTTTACTATATTCCCGTCCTATTTAATTCTATACTCGTGACTGACCAGCTACCATCAAATTATTCACTCTGTAGCTCGTTCCTATAACGAGTTTAATCGCACGATTAGCATATGACCGTTACTATCGAAATTGACCGATATCACGTCAGATGGAGTGGACGGGGGCGAACGACTTTAATAACGTTTTTAGGTTATTTTAGAATATTTTTTCGATCGAGGGGTAAGAGGGTAGATTATATTTACACCAACCTCTAGAATAAGGGATGGCGTGTATGTTGGTACTGTGAGAGACGATCGATATCGGGATTTGGGACGTTGAGAAAATTCATGGTAGAGAGGTTAGGTTTGAAGAAGAAAAAATTTAACATGCGTACTAGTTACGTGTGAGCACTTACCTTGATTCCGTCGGAGGTTTGAAAAGTTGTTGAAAAGTTTGTTGTCGTGAGATCGACAGAAACGCGGAGCCCACGTGCTCAGGCCGTTACATCAGGAGCTGAAAAAAAAAAAGTAGCTGAGTAGAAAAACTTGTTCTTGTCAAGAGATGGGTCGCATGACACCTGTTAGCCTGCAATTTGATCGATAAGTATCCAAAACACCTCGGTTCTCCTTATATGTTTATGGGGGTTGTTGCTACCCTCGATATGTCTCTTATACCTATATGATCCATCTCGTGCGAATATCCTATTCATATTACCGGCAAGGGTGACACACGTTGCTTTTGATAAATTTTACAAGTTTTTTTTTTATATTTCAGATCAAGGGTGACACTATGAACTACCTGATACATATTGACTGGTATTATTGATTTTTTGATACCATATTTTGGAAAATTCATAAAGTTTTTAAATTGTGTAAAAATTTTTTTTTTTATTTAACGACCATATTACTATCTGGGATAATTTCTTGTGAGGATGTGAATTTCTGATAATTGCATTCAGGGTATTTTTTTTCTCAACCTTTTCCATCGATTTCAAAGCGAACAAACGAGAATTCACACTCCTCTGATACGCGCTTTCCTCCCTGCGGCTATTCTCCACATATCTGGCAACTCTCATTCTCCTGAAGCTCTCTATATCCGAACACAAAAACCAGCTTTATTTGCGGCATTGAAAGGGAGTCTCGATACGTAACCTAGGACATAGGGGGAACTTCCTCGAAATCCATTGCCACCCTTCTGTCTCGTGTCATCTTTTTATACCATCGTTTTTATGCCCGCCACACGTCTCCACATAGTCGCGCCTATACTGTCTGTATGTTGAGAAACGCGTGAAGTTTCTTTCCACGTTCACGTACTTGGTACAAACCGCGGGGTATCCACGTTAAAGTCTCGAGGGACTTACACCGATTCTCAATAACTATCTGTCATTTTTTATCCCAAGGGTGATGGATTTATCTATTACGCCGAGGGAAGCCAACATTAGCTCTTACATTTATATATAGATAAATGTCAAATTTTCGTGAATTTTGACATTTTCACTTTCGACGATGAATATTCAGAGATTTGTGGAAAGAAAAGTCAATTTTAAAAAATATACCCTCCGCCGATTACGATTGATTCACACCCCTGGAATTCAGGACGAAATGATTGGCGAGTTTTAAATCGGTCTATAAATATAGCTGGACATCAATAATGCAGCCACTCTGTATCAATATATGGAGAGAGACGCGAGGTTATGTATCAAGGTAATGGCGGTCCGGGGGTAGCTCGTCGTAGGGTGAATTCGCGGAGTATTGCGGGTTCCATACTGCGGTTGGAATGTTTCATCAAATATTTAAGGGGGAGTCCTGCCTATATACCTATACCCACTTCCCTCCCACTTTGGTCCTTCTATCAGATACGCTTCAAAATTCACGTTGATCGCCGCCATGCCGTCGATCGGAAAGCTTCTCCAGCATCCAGCAAAACTTTACGAACCGTTCAGATGGAAACCTCGCCGTTACCACAAGCACCCATACTATCTCCATCTAAACTCTCTCGAGAGCAAGATCATTTCTTTGACGATCCTTTCCTCGCAGCATCCGGACCGCTCCGCACCCATCGACTTCATCATTAACCCACGATTATGTCCTGACCATTTTATTCATAAATCTTCATCACCTAAAAATCATCTACAATAAATATAAATTTTAAAACAACAATCATCATCATTAAAGATGCTCCAGCAGCAATGATCCACACACTCGTCCGGCTGTCTAGCTCTGGTTTACCAGGATGCTTCTCGCCACTCGAAACAATAATGTCTACCTTGATTTGCGAAGGAGCCTCGAGGGAGGCATGCAAAGTGACAGGAGTCGAGGGCAGCTATGAAATATTAAGGGACTTCCAAGTGAGAGTCGCTCCCTAAGGCTCTACCTTTCCCGGATGCTTCCTCCTCGGCGAATCTCGTACGAATCTTAGATCGTTGGTGGTCGACACCTGACCCTACTGCCACCTGCCTCAAATGTTCCGCAAACGAGAGCCGTTATAGCTTCCAAACTTTCCAAGAGGATGCCGTTAGGCCTCCGGAGTGCTGAGGCTAAACTGAGGGAAAGTCAAGTCGACGCCCGGCATCGGCCGCTTATGCGGCGAGCCAGACTGTCAGCGGGGATGGAATCGGGAGAAGTTAAGGAATTAGGTAAATGCACACGTAGGCAGAAAGGAAACCAGCTAAAATATCTCGTTTATGGCAACGTGACGGTACGAGGTTCAAGTGCGTCTTGCATATGTAATTCCTATGGTCGTGTCAGAGCCGCCATTACAGTAATGTATCGCACTGCTGGCGGGTCTTAAACTTACACGAGCCCAATTCGTCTCGTCGATTGGCCAGAATGTGGGAACTCACTGTTGCGTCTCTCGCGCGCACACCGGTGTCACATACGATTTCCCACACGTATGGTTATTTCTTTCTCGGCTCACACGGTCTGTCAGGTGTTCCTTTAAAGAAAGGAAGAAACGCGAAGAGAGCTTATACTTGTAGTAGAAGTTCACTCCGCTCCGATAGCCATACTAGCCTCTGGCTAGTGGCTCAAACTTTGCTAAACAGTACCGTAGGCTACCATTATGGTACCCGAGAAGTCTTCCTTGTCCTCGAGTCGAGAGGGCCCAGAGAGAGTAGTGGGACCTGGAGGATCTGGAGGATCTGGAGGACCTGGAGGACCTAGAGGGAGTCGATAGAGCAACCAGGGTCAGATTGCTACGAGCAGCCTCGACCTTCGAGGGCAATGAGGTGAATTCCAAGCGTGAAGGGGTTACTAGTCGTGTCCTAATCTGTATTGCTGGATCTCGCGTGTTCCTCCTACTTCTCAAGATTCATCTCTGTCTCTCCCCCTCTCTCTGGTCCACCCATCCTCCCTTAACTTGCAAACGTGCAACGGAGATACAGATGGATAAATCCATTGGCCAGACTTTGAACGTTAAGGCGCCACTCCTCGCATCCTCCGTACCCAGGACCATGGACCAAACTCTAAGAAACGATCTGACTAGTCTCTTAACCCCTTGATTCGCGTTACGTTCGATTCCACCGATGCCTAATTCGAGTTTCCTTATACTTGATCGCCTAACAAGCATTGCCACTGATGAGTGAGAGCGAGAGAGCAGGATCAGATTCCCAGCCTCTTCCCCATCAAGTGTGCGCATTCGACTGTTGTCCAGTAAGTCGCTGATCTCCAACTATCCCAGAGGATTACCAACTATTCTCGAAGACGGGACCATCCGGGATTAGAGAGGACTTCTGGACCAGTATACATGTATATAGTACTCGCGCTTCCTCTCCCACCCTCAGGACCCTCTGCTTCTAGAATCACATATAGGAGAGTTCTACGGCCACCCTCACTCCCCAAGCCAATATCAATTATAAGAGAAGACAAGAGCCTGCAATCACGCCCGGGCAGACCTTAACGGATCAAAGCTCTTTGCCTGCCTTGCGGCTCCTGGGATCAACTACTTTTTAGATAAGAAATACTTCAATTAACTCAACCACCGCAGGCAGCGTCTCTATTCTATCCGTCTTGTACCACCATCGATCCATCTCTCTCTCTCTCTCTCTCTCTCTCTCGTCAGATGTTGTGATACGACGTAAGACTTACAAAAGGATTTCGATGCATCCTACGATTTAAGTGGCTCTCCAAGAAGGGTCTTAAGTTTTCACGAAATTTCGTGGCTCAGTTTAGTCTCGGTTAAAGCGTTTCCTGTCGTCCGCGTCCCTCGCAACTGCGTGCGCTCGCCGCAACGTAAACACAGGACGCTTTTGTGGATGCGCAGAAACGACCAACCTCTTGCCTCTCCCATGCGCAGCCATTACTCCCCTTTTCCACGTGTGTCTCCCGCACCCACTTATTTCCAGGAGGGAATATATTGTCAGTCCTTTAAAATTCAATATTTCACTCGCCATAGGCAGGATAGCTTTTATACAGAAATGCCATAGGACATTTATTTTTCTGTCGCTTCAGGCAATTTCTCCTATTCTACTCTCAAGGCTATTCCCTCTTCTCGGTACGATTCTCGATTTACCTACTTGACCATGGTGTACGTATATAAATATATGTGCCTGTGTGTCTAGAGAATTTTACCACCCTTACCTACAACCCCATGGATTCTCATATGCACTTAGTTTTCATTGGCGCTGGCCCGTCCTATGTAATATAATATATTTGCTACTGTGTGGCTCCCCACGGGACGAGATACACGTACGCGTTTCTTCTTTCATCCTTTCGAATGACTTTTCTTCCACTCCTTCCCCCTTCCGCCTCCTCCCCACGCAACTACTTACTTCTTTTCTTTATCCTCATTTTCACTGCGAGACTTCGCCACTCGGGGAACGAGGTGTTATTTCCTTTGAATTTCCACGGGTGCCGTCGTTAAAAGCAGGCGCAGCACAGCGTGAAGCAAAAGCTGGGTAATCCTATTTTTTTCCTGATTCACGGTAATCCGCATCGGATCCATACGTGGACGCATGCATACATGCATATGCTGCAATAAATATTTAACGGCAGCGCGTCCGATCGGCGCCGGGCGCGGTTTTACGGGGTGCCCAACCCTATATCTCATGGGATGGAGAGCGGAGGCGAGGGGGCCGAGTCCTTTTTTTTTCTATTATGCCGTGATTGTTTATTGACGAAGTGGACTCTATGGACCGCGCAGGGGTGGCTGGCTTGTCCTCGGGTTCTTCGGGTCGAGACATCTATTACTTTGTTGTTTGCCTTTTTTCGGTATTCGCAGGGTGGCAAGATGTGTAAGTGCAGGATAGATATAAGAGCAGGGTAGACGTAGGGGGCTGAGAAGGAAAGTCGGGGCTGGTCACTCGGCCGGGGTATAAGCGAGGGGTCGGAGAGTTGGAAATGCGCCTGGGTCAGGGGTGTTTCGCTCGTCCGGTCACTCGCGTCCCAAGTGTGCAATGCTTCGAGCCATAGATCACGCAATATCAGTTGTCAGGCCAAGCAGAGACTATAGCACGGTACTATACGTATATACAGATACTATAGGAACGGTAGAACGGCAGAACGAACTATGGGGCA